TTGATTTTTTTTTCTTCTTTTTCTGCTTAATTTTCGGGGTTTTCCGATTTAAATGCATGCAATTCATAATCCCAAGGATTTATATTTTTAGTCTACTTATTTTGTTGTTCTTGAATAATTTTAGGCAGCGGTTACTAATGGATGCAGTCGAACAGTTGGTAATCTCCTCTGCACGGTTAGTAATTTAACTTTAAGCTATCTGTTAACATTTCTGATTAAGCTATTAATCCAGTAAATTAGTTAGGAAAGCATGGTTGAATAAATATCGATGATAGTGGGATACTGAAAATTAGTTAGCGAAAATGTGAGGATGGACGCTTGCAGGATTTTCTCGCAGCACCTAAGGAAGGAGCTTGGATGGGGTGATGTCGATGTGCTTCGGTAATTGCAAAGGAGAGTGGGATACTGAAAATTGATCAATTTCACCGGCTACAGTTCTCTGATTTTATCTCCGGTGGCACCCTCTTCGACTGGGAATCTAGGATACTAAAGATTAGAAAGAAAAACAATTATTGTACCTGTTGGACCCGTAGGAACCGGCCCCGTTTTATACGAGCCGGGTTAGGTCCGGTTCTCAATTTTAAAATAGTAAAATCCGCCCCACCCCACCCCGTTGTATTTTCAAACAATTCAGGTCTGATCCCTCCAATTTTGAGCCCATGACCACCCCTAATTTTAGCTAGCCCACCAAAGAAAAAAAATCCTGACTCCGCCCTGTTGGACAAAAAAAAATTAAAATAACGTGTGTGTGAAAAATAGAAAGATGTGTGAATAACATCAGACGTAAAACTCATTTTGTCATATCCAATCAAACACGATAAAAACATGTTTTTCCCGTATCTGACAGCCCGATGGTCCTTATAATAAATCAACTCCTTGAAAGTTCAAAATGCAACACTTCAGAATCTGTGTTTGTTTTTCTCTCCAACCGTGTCCAACTTGGCGATGCAGCGCTCTCACTCTGCAGCTGAATCAGACTCCTCGTGGGTGTCCACTGAGTCGGACGCGTGGTTGAGACTCGGATGCTCTTTTCCCTGACATCACTACGCATCGATAAACGCACAGCAATTCCGATTACGTCACTTCTCTCGCCTCCATTTCATGGTTAGCTCCTCCTCCTTATTTACTCAACGCCTAATTTTGGCCTTCTTCACTGATTTGTTCTAGAGATCGCAGATTGTTGAGTCAGAGAAGAGGTACTTTTCCAATTGGGGATTTTATTGATTGATGCTGTATTAATTTAGAATTTGCCCAATTGGGGTTTGCGAATTTTGGTTTATATGGCTGGTTTGAACTTTTGAGAGAACCCACATTGTTATTGGTTTTTTTTTATACCAATTTGATGTGATAGTTTTGGTGGGTGTTTGTGTTTTGAGATTCTTTTGCCTGTTTACCTGTGTTTTGTGGCTGGAGATTCTTTGATTGATGAAATGAGCAGATTTGTTTGCGATTTGAGTAGAGAATTTTGTATTTGTGAATGATAACAAGTTGTCTTTTTTGCGTGCGAGTAGCATTTACTTAAAATAGTTAAGCAGTTCAATTAAATTTATGTTTTTTGATTTGCTAAAGTATCTGTCTTTGATTGAAAGTTTTTGCTTTGGCTAGTAGCTTTAGATATGCTGATAGCTAAGAACAAAGGTAGATTCTGATAATTTGAAATGGTGATTAGCGGAAGGCCTGCATTTTTCGCTTCCTATTTCCACTTTAACTTTCCAATCTAGAAAGCCATGGCTTTTCGTAACGGTATGTTTACTCTGTTATGTGCAGAAACATAGAAACTTACCTATTAGGCAAAGTAATCCTAAAATGTCGGACAACAATGTTGCTGAGTATGTTGGTTTGGGGGAAGGATCCTCGCACGACTTAAATAAGTATCAAAAGGTTTCAATTATACCTCTTGTCTTCTTGATCTTCTACGAGGTTTCGGGAGGTCCATTTGGTGTCGAAGATAGTGTCCAGGCAGCCGGTCCCCTTTTAGCCCTCCTTGGTTTTCTGGTTTTTGCCATCATATGGAGTGTTCCAGAGGCCTTGATAACTGCAGAAATGGGTACTATGTTCCCCGAGAATGGGGGATATGTTGTTTGGGTCTCATCGGCTTTGGGTCCGTACTGGGGCTTTCAGCAAGGATGGGTCAAATGGCTCAGTGGGGTGATTGATAACGCTCTATACCCTGTTCTGTTTCTTGATTATCTCAAATCAGCAATTCCGGCTTTAGAGAGCGGTCTCCCAAGGACAATTGCCGTGTTGGTTTTGACAGCAATTCTCACTTACATGAACTACAGGGGTATGACAATAGTGGGTTGGGCTGCTACCTTACTGGGGGTGTTTTCACTTCTTCCTTTCATATTCATGGGATTTATAGCAATCCCCGAACTAAATCCTTCAAATTGGTTTGTGGTAAATCTGGAGACTGTGAATTGGAGTATGTACTTCAACACGCTGTTTTGGAATCTTAATTACTGGGATTCAATTAGTACTCTTGCAGGGGAGGTGGAAAACCCTGGTACAACTCTTCCTAAATCTCTCTTTTATGCTCTTATCTTGGTTGTGGTTGGATACATTTTCCCTCTTCTGATTGGTACCGGAGCTGTTCCAGTAGAACGTGAACTATGGACAGACGGGTATTTCGCAGATATTGCTAAAATGCTTGGAGGTGTATGGTTAAGAACCTGGGTCCTGGCAGCTGCTGCTTTGTCAAACATGGGTATGTTTGTGGCTGAAATGAGCAGCGACTCCTTTCAACTTTTGGGTATGGCAGAACGTGGTATGCTTCCTTCAATCTTTGCCAAAAGATCTCGTCATGGCACTCCGCTTACCGGAATCTTATTCTCTGCATCCGGTGTAATCTTGCTTTCCTTTTTGAGCTTCCAAGAGATCGTAGCTGCTGAGAACTACTTGTATTGCTTCGGAATGATTATGGAATTCATCGCGTTTGTGAAGTTGAGGATGAATCAACCAGCTGCATCGCGGCCTTTTAAGATACCGGTTGGTACAGTGGGAGCAATTTTGATCTGCATTCCTCCGACGCTGTTAATCTTTGTAGTTTTAGCTCTTGCTACTCCAAAGGTAATGGTTATTAGCATCGCTGCCATGATCATTGGGCTTCTTCTGCAGCCTTGCATCGAGTACACGAAAAACAAGAGGTGGTTTAATTTCTCCACGAAATCTGACCTTCCAGATATCCACAATGCATATGATCAGTGTAGTATTGTAGCATGATTCCATCAATGATTGTAATCATTTGGTGTTTGAAATTATTGGTTGTTTCTGACTTTGAACTGTGGATGCTTTGTATATTCCCTTTTACTTAATAGTTGAAATATTGTGATGGATGCACTATGCATATAAAAATCTCGAGACCCTTATAAAATGTGGTGGAAGGAAATATATACAGGTAGATATTGCGCTTTTTTTTTTTTCTTAGGAACTCTTTAAAATACTTTGTGGCCTATTCATAGTATATCGTGTTTATAATTAGAACCGTTCATATTATAAGTTACTTTGTAAAAGACTATCTCTACAAAAAAATCAATTAAAATCAAGATTGTTAGTCATTGAATTGTATAAAAGCACAAGGACGGATTTGATGAAAGTATTACGAATCTTCTATCTATTTGTTACAATTGATTGACCAACGATCTTAGTTTTAATTAATTTTTTGCAAAGATGTCTTTACAAAGTGTTTTATAATATAAACAGTTCTGATAATAAGCATGAAGTTCCGTAGCTAGGCCGAGAAGTACTATGAGGAGCAACTCCTCTTTAAAAATGATGCACGAAATTCTATAAATAAGCCGATAAGTACTGTGAGGAGTAACTCTTCCCCAACAACGATCACTCGCTGATATAAGGGGATAACAAGAGTATACTTTGGGTCTTCAAAATTGGGCATAGGTCATGCAATGTTAGCAGCTTAATGGATTTTTTGGCGTACTTGACGGCGGAGGCCCGTCATACAAAAACCGGGGTTAACTGATACGCGAAAAAGCAAGGTAGGTTCAATGGCCTTAGCCTAACGGCGTGTTTTTGTAAAATGGTTCAAAGTGTTTTTTTAACAATAAACATTATGATTGTGTTTTGCAGAAAACTTAGAAGAGTTTCCAATTCATAAAAGTGCTTTTTGAAAAAGTAACTAATAGATGTTAGTTCATGAAGTACTTCCAAGTGCTTTTCCAAAACGTACTCAAAAAATGCTACAATAAATCACTTTAGTATGAGAAGTGCTTTCTAGAGAAGCAATCCTAAACAGCCTTGATGAAAATGATATGGATTAGCCTTGTCGAATGCCATTCCAATATGCAACTATACATTAATGGGCTCTAGGTCAAATTATATGCTGCGTTTGGATGGTTCCTAATATTTGGTTCTCCCTCGACATATCATTGCCTATATGTTAACTACTTCAAACTTATCTGCTTTGCTTGCCAAACAGTCCCTTGGCAGGTGAGTCTACTTGTATTGTGTTCTACACTGTGGATCCCACACTCAAAAATGTCGAAGACGATAGGTTGGTGAGGCACATGTATACGGAACCAGACTAATATTTATGACATGTTGTCTCGTTGCTTAACATTAACATCCATTCCCTCTCTTGTGAGTTGCCACAAGCTGTTCTGTCTGCAACTTACAATAATCATGTCAAAATAATCCACGTGGCACTCACACAAGAACTAAGAAGGATCCATGCTTAATTAATCCCTAAACGAGCTGTTAGTTAGTCCCTGACAACTGTTAATGTTAGTGAGAAACACTTTGACGATTATATTATAAAATCGTCAAAAAACTATTTGAGGTTGTGTTCAGTAATCGAATCGTTGTTAAAGTGTTTTTAACAGTGAAACGGAGTATTCCAAGGCCCTTAACATGTATTGGTTAACCTTACCTTACCAGCCAATTGGGTTTATGTCAAAATTGCAGTCTTTTGTTAACCATCGGATTTTACAACACTTTGTTGTCTATATATCACCGCTGTCTTTTTGGCCGTTTACTAGAATTAAGAATAGCAAAAATGCTGTTTGTTTCATCAGCTAGTGAAGAAAAACTGACCAAATAAGTACTTTCATAAGCAGTTTGAGGATGAGGTGCTTTTTCTGATAGAGAAAAGGCAGAGGAAAGAGAGAAAATGGGAGTTCAAAACAACAGTCCAAGAGCTTCCCCAAGAAGAAAATCTACAACCCTTCAACACTTGTTTGATCTCGATGCCAAAAGCGCTTCTGACAGCAAAACTATTATTGGCAGTCAATCTTCTTCCAGTTTGGAAAATGAAGAAATCCTGTCAGCAATCTCCATCTGCAATTTCATCTGCACCTTCACCGATCCGAGCGAATGCCCTACGCAACAAGAACTTAAAAGGCAGAAGCTTTTGCAGCTTCTTTCGATTGTCAAATCCTCGAAGAAGCCTCTGCATGATCAAGTCATGACGTCTCTCATTTCCATGATATCGTTGAACATTTTCCGGTCTCTCCCTCCTCCTTCCAATCCCACATATGCCATGGACTTTCCCGACGATGAAGACCCCATTTCCACCTTTTCCCCTGTGTGGTCACACCTGCAGTTAGTCTACGACATACTCATCCGCCTTGTGATTAACAATGATCCTAAGTTACTCAGAGGCTACATTGACAACCAGTTTGTTGTCAACCTCCTTGCCCTCTTCCAATCAGAAGACCCGAGAGAGCGCAACAGCTTGAAGAATGTGTACCATAGAATATATTCTCGATTCACATTCTACCGTTCGTCCATGAGGAAATCGATGAATGATGTGTTCTTGCACTATGTGTTTGAGACAGAGCGGCATTGTGGGATCAGAGAGTTGCTTGAGATATGGGGAAGCATAATCAATGGCTTCACCGTGCCGCTGAAGGAAGAGCACAAGCTGTTTTTGATGAGAGTGCTTATTCCTTTCCACAAGACCAAGGGGTTGCAGGGCTACCACAAGCAGCTGGCTTATTGTGTGTCGCAATTTGTGCAGAAGGAGCCCGTACTTGGCGGAATTGTGGTGAGAGGAATTCTGAGGTATTGGCCCATGACGAATTGCCAGAAGGAGGTTTTGCTGGTTGGGGAGCTGGAGGAGCTGGTGGAGAATATTGACCCTGATCAGTATAGGAAGTTGGCCCTGCCTCTGTGCGTACAGATAACAAGATGCTTGAACAGTTGGAACTCACAGGTACATTGTTTTTTCTTTTTCTTCTGGCTTAATGATTTTTCGGATAGCAAGTTTTGAAGATCCATCTTCTCTTCCTTTGCTTTCTTAGCAACCAAACAGAAAACAACTGCTAATTCTGAAAATTAGTACCCTCGTTTGTTAATGTTCGAAGGAAGGTTTAGTTTTCGCCCCGGCTATTTGGTTACTTCCATTAGTTTATAAGGTATTCATAGAACTTCAAGATGCCATAGCTATCATTGGAAACTTTTCATTCAGATTTCAAGATTCTATAATCGTATTTTCCTATGAATTTGTTACAAACAAGCAGAAAATAATTTCTTAACAACTACGACACTCTTCTTTCCAATGCCTGACAATTGAAACTAGTAAAGACTGCATGTGCTGGATAGTGGAAACTAGTTTCTTGAGTCCTTTGTAGGGATGAAATTGTGCCTCTTGTAAAACCCTCTTGAAATCAAGCCTTTGTGGTTAGCCTAAGTGGTGAAGGCGGGCTGGCAAATGAGTCAAGATTACTCCGTCAAGGGCTGAATTCCCTCCACTGCACCGGAGAAAAAAAAAACTCTTGGAATCCTATTATACTTTGAACTCCCTACTGAAGTTTTACATAGCTTTAGCTGCTTTGGGGTCCTTCAATTATTGTAAGTGTTATAATCTCCGAATCTTCAAAATTCAATAGAAGATTTAACACTGCTTGGCTCCTTACAGTTAACGAGTCATTCCTCCTTATCTGCCAATCACATAAACTAAGTGTATACCTTTTTAGTTTAAAAATCATTTGCTATACTATTGTGTTGTACTTTTAGGTAGCAGAGAGAGCCCTCTATGTTTGGAACAATGAGCAGTTTGTGAAGATGATATCAGTGGCAATGGAGGAAGTGTTTCCAGTCGTGGTTGAAGGCATGGAGAAGAACTTGAAGTGGCATTGGAGCAAAAGCGTCCGGCAACTGACAGAAAACGTGAAGGTGATGCTCGAAGAAATGGATCCAGTTTTGTACTCCAAATGCCTGGAAGAAATTGAGCTAAGAGAATCCAAGGCCAACCAAGCAGAACTCAAGAGGAAGGAGAAATGGGACCGAATAGAAATGGCTGCAGCAGCCAAGCATCAGTTTCCCCAACCACAACATTTCATGTGTGTTTCTCACTAAAATTTAAATCAACAATGTATACAACAAGTAGTCTCTGCTGGGTTTTTTGGGTTTGGTTTCATACCCATTGTAGAAGGTTTCTAGTTGGTCCTTCTATTTATTAGAAGAAAATACTCAACTCCTTACGTGTAACGAGTTATTCCTTCTTACAGATCAATTAGATTATGATATGTATGCTAAAACTTTCTATTTTGTGGTTAACTAGGGCTTTTGAAGCAAAACACAATACAACTATTTCCAACATAAAGCCAACCTAATCATTGTGTATTAGTACGCAGCCGCATCATATAATTACTTCGCGTATTATAACTAGGACGGACAACAAGTTAAACGTAAGACTTAGTAACACATAAATTTACTATACCACGTGCCTTTGTTCTAATACGGCACCATAGTCTCAACCACCAAGGGTTAGTTTGTTATTGCCAAATTGTGTGAGTAAAATACTAATAATGTCAGATCAAAGTGAAATGTTATGAACATGTGTGATCTGATTGATAGGTACATATGTCACTTTACATTGCATGATTTCAAGGTGGTGAAGAATTGAAATTGAATGACAAAGACAGGTCAAGTTATATTAAGGGTTTTAACCTAATTCTTTGTTTGTTAATTAAGTGTCGCATATGGAAACTGCTCAGAGTGGCCAAGGATAAATTCTCTTGTTGTGAGGATTACAACGAAGTTGGAACAAGGCAGGCAGGCAGGCCGGCAAACTTTGAAAAATTGAAAGGTCAAATTCATGAAGTCCTAAGGTTTGGTTTGGGTAGATAAATATCTTCTTTTTAATATATATTTTTATAAGGATTTATATACGTGCTTTGCGGCTTCGAAGGAGATTAAATTTATCAACGAACTTTCAATCAAGTGATGAATATGTTCTTTTGATATAAGAGGTTTCAAATTCGATTCTCCTCTCCTAACTAAAGAATCCATAATTTTCACCTAATTCCGGGCATGTATATGGTCATGTTACACTTTGCTCAGGCTTTAAAACGTGCCTAAAAATAAAAGCTAGCACTAGCAGGTTTACTGCATATGGCCAAGAACTTGAAGCGTAGTTGCAACGTCACTTGTCTCGTCAAATTTTACTTCAATAAATAATTAAAATTTGTTATTTTGTTTCGTTTCGTGTCGGATTAATAGCAAACTCTTTCATCCGCGGTTTCTGCTGCGACTTAGGAGCAGCTGCTCCTCACAGAACCCGACTATTGACCCCGTGTCCGCCTCTCATCGCCGCCGAAAGCAACCTCGAAGCCGTTGCGGGCGGAGGAACACCATCATACGAGCCACGGAGCACGCTGCTGCTGGTAGTTTTACTTTTCTGATTTATGCGAATTGTTTTGTTTGTTTGATGAGAAAGTGGCGGCTGTTGTGCTGAGGTCACGATCCCCGGACTCTCCTTTCTCTTGGATATACAGTCTAATGGGACAGTCTAATGGGGCCAAAGTCGATTACTGCAACTCCGTTTCAGTAACATCCAGAAGGAAGAGGGGTGATTTTATCTCCTCCTTTTTTTCTTTTCTTCTTTTTGGGTTTTGAATTGGAGCTTCCCTCCAGAGTTGGCTAGGTTTTTACTTGGGCGACAAGTACGGATGGATTTACATGTTCTCTACTTTCCAATGATTTACTTTCTGGGGTTGAAGTCACATATGGACAATGAATTATTCTTCCTCAAAAAAACAAGAAAGACCTTATGAATTCTCCATGAAAAAGAGCTTTTGGTAATCCATCTTCATCTTAAAACTTTTTCTGGACTAAACATCGTCAAAAACACTTTTGGTTAAAAAGTGCTTTTAGTATAGATATAGCATTTCCAAACAGCACCTTCCTCACAATGCTTTCATGAGCACTTAATTCATAAGTTGAATTTCTGTTACAAATTAGAGTGCTTTTGACCCAGATGTTATGAAGTTGTGAAATAGATCGGTATCATGATCCCAAAAAGTGCTTTTATAACCCCTAAAGTTGTGAACATAGGTGTTTTTTACAAAAAGAATTTCAAACGAGTACTAGCGTGCGCTTCACCAAAATTTGCACCACGGAAACCATAACCTAGACTCTTACTACTGTCGATACCATCCAAATACCTTGATGCTATTATAACACGTAAATTTAGAGGATGAAATGGAGGAAGATTACATGAACGAACATGATCAATGTCAACAAGTAAACATTGCATGCTTTTTCTCCAAACAAAAAACACTCGATCACGACTAATAAAGTATCACAGCCGCTTAACACAGCAAGAATTAAGTGTGTTCCATCCTCAGATATATAAAGGTTTACAGCTTCTTGAAAAATATAAGAAACAATGCAAAACTTTAATGGAAAATTCTAATAGCTAAATGTGAAAACCCCGAAATCTGCGGGAATCACCGACACAAACCCTAACCACCAGAATCGTTGAATAATGCAAAACTCTAAATCTAACATGAAAATTCTATTAATCCAAGACACGAACGATATACTTCTTGCCTCTCTTTTAAATACAAGACAAAAAGAACAAACACACCTCAAAGCTTGGAAAGCTGCACCCCTGTACACCACACTCGTCCACAGCCTAAGCTGCTTCATTTATCAAGCCATGCGCTCTACGGACCAATTCCAAGCTAACTTCAAGCTTCATTTGCGTCAACAACAAAGCTTTCCCAAAAAATATGGGGCCGAAAATTTGGACTTCGCCTGTAAAACTCATGACCACAATGCAATGGTGATGCACAATGTTTGGACGCAAATACAGAGCTCCGATAAGCACATGGAGGGGAGAACCCGCCGGTACAATACATCAGCTATGCGTACAATACTACACTTGGTATATTTTTGAAAGCTTTTCCTTCACTGGTGGCACCAAGGCAGACATACATTGGTCCCAAGCTCCTCCATTCGCAAGCATCTGCCGGATTATTTATTTGAAACAAGTGAATCAAAATACGTTGGGCTTATTCTGCAGCATGTATCTCAGAAAGAAAATTTCATCCCCTTACGAAACTTGAATATTTTGGGCAAGGTTTCATATTGTTTGTGTTTATCTCCCCGAAAAATAAATAAATAAAAAATTCAATTTCATAATCTAAAAAGCAACACTAACCTGCTTATAACCATGCAACACCTGGTGAACTTCATTATGAAGCTCTTCGCTCCGTATTTCCTATAGAACATAACAAATCACGACTTTGAGCTTGTTCAAAAACACGAACACTTGACTTGTACATCTAAGATGGGAATAGTAAGATTCTTACATGCCAACTTGCAATAGCATTGCACAGATAAATGAGTGAATTCAATGCTCCGGATGGATTGGTTCTAACCTGAAAAGTTAACAAAATCCAAGTTTAAGTGTAAATAGAAATTCATGTGGTACACATATATGGAAATGAAAAATTAGAAATGCAGATGCATACCAAAGCACAGAGACCTCGGAAGGCATCCTCCTTTTCTACATCATCACGTATCCTGTTACAAACACTTTTGCATGTCAGAAGCAGACCATTGTTATGACATAATACCTAAGTCCCTGCCAGACTTTTAAGGCAAAGTGGACAATATAGTTTCTCAAGCATTGATCTTCTCTCTTAACTTCAGTATGAGAAAGTATATTGTCCATTGCCCAATCGTCAACTTGGACAATATCCATTGCTTATAATAATCTATATTACAACTACTGATGCTTCTGCTGCAACTTGTGTGCTGTTATTAATATGCCATACGTAGATATATAGAACTTACATTGACAAAGCAATGCACCATCGTTGCATGAAATGCTCCATATGGGGAGCCACAAGCTCTGGACAGACCCACGCAAGCCTCCCAAGGGTGATAGCACTGTTTTCAATTAGTGACTTGTTCAGCTCCTGCTCAGCATCAATAGAATCAATTATAAGATGACACATCCTCCATGGTAGACTGGTAGTACATATTGTAATTATAATAGAAAAGGAGTCACCTCTGCGTGTTGAAGGATTTGAACTAAGCAAGAGATAACTGTCAGAACAATTGGAGAAATTTCTTGACGAACCTGAAATTCAAAGTTACTTTCATGATAACATAATCAAGCAATTATAGTTAAACAATTAGGTAATGAACTAAGTAACAAGGAAGAAAGAAACATAAAAAGCCGACCGGATGACACGAACAGACACATGCATATGTGCGACTGCGTGTTGATAACAAAAGCTTGCTTGGAACTTCAAAAATGTGTGTGTACCAAATCAGCTTGCTTACATTTAGAAAAGAACAGAGAATTGATAAAATCCCCACCATCTTAGCACTACTTGCGTAGAACCATCTCTGCTTGCCTAAAATAGATATATACACAAAGCTGAAGAAATTTGTGCCTATTTATTTACCAAAGCATGGGAATATGATGGCAGAAGCCATGACCTCCCATAGATGAGATTATGCACTTACAATGATCATCTAAAAAGAGTGCAATCAACCACAAATTTCAAGTCATTAATTTGCAAAAAATCTCAGCTGAAGCTTTACGATCTAAATCTAATGTCAACCCAACATCATGGCATGACTTTACAACCAGACTTTAATTGGTATTAGGAATACTGCAGCAAGAATGGGAATGTTTACCTTAACTGCTAACTCTCCAATGGCCCAACATGCATTGTTTGCAACTGAAACAGTTTCTTGCAGCTTAGGAGTATTCTGTACCACAATATATCAATTAATCATGAGTCATGACTGCCATAAGCAATAGTAACAACCATCGGATAATTTTTACATACCAGTTGCTTGGCTGCGATATCAAGAAATTCTGGCAAACGAGGTTGCAAGTGAACTGGGCATACCTACTCAAATCATGTAGACACGATGGTTAGGCATTAAAAAATACATTCGCAGATAAATAAACAGCTTTAGTATCTTCCACTACATTAGCCTTGCAGCCTTGTGCTATCTAGTAGTTTCCTCCTCGGGAATTTACTAGATATACGTTCTCAAATTATGCACACGGATGGGGCAGGAACACAACCTGAAGGCTTTATATCATTGGGTAGATATATTCTCACTTACTCTTGCAAGATCCCCAAGTAGTGCAAATCCACTCTGCCGGACATCCGAAGCATCATCCGTGCAACATTGCAAAAGCAGGTCCCTCAAATTGCTTTGTGAAACCTTGGAGCAGCACAAATAAGAAAACATGAAAAACCATTTCTATGTGCAAGCTATATATTAGTTGAACAATGGAA